AAAAATTTTAATAATCCTACTTATTAAATATTTTTGACTCTATAAATTAGGAACAATTTTTATATCGCAATCGTGTCGCTGTTTTTAAATGCAGCAGTAATAAATAATAAGGTTATAGCTAAAACTTATTCCTAAATTAAATATAAATCAATTTGTATATCATAGTAGTGATACGCAAGTGATGTAGATCCATTAAACTAAAAAATTCTGATTTACAATCCAATAAAGGTAAATTATGTAAATGGATATAATGCAAATGCAAATTATCAAATGAATATTTAATTTTATTATATGAATCCCAATCAAATGTGCTGTTGCAACATGCTATCAGGAAGCTAATGATCTCTTTTATACATTCATCCTTATTTGATAATACTTCGAAGAAGTCTATACTATTATAGTTCATATTTAATGTTGTTCTTTAAAAGCTTATGTTCGTACCATAAAGGGTAACATTTAAAATTATTTATATGATTAAATGGTATATTTATATATTTGTAATCGATGTGTAATCGACAATTTTTCATATTACATGCAACTTTTAAAACAGCTACTTTTGTATCTGCAAACAGAAATATAATACATAATAAATTTTAAGTATTTTTTTTTACACTCATATGATGCATAAATTGTAATATTTACCATAACACCTTGCACTGTCAAATATGAGTAACAGTGTCTTTTCTGGAATGTCATGTTTATGGATAAATGAAAAGAAAGGATTATTCATCGAGAAATTAAAAAATTGCCAGCAATCCAGTTTAGATGAATAAATATAAATGCAAGAACCATTGCGATTTTTTCGAAAATGTACAAGTTTTCATTTGCAACAAAATGTTTAGTATTACTTCTCCAAATATGTGAAAACTCATCTTCTATCCATGTATCTGTGCATTAGTAAAACAAATTTTAATTAATTACATTAATATAACAAAATAATTTGTGTTTTTATGATAAATTTCGGTTGAGATTATATTTACAAAGAAAGATAATTACAAAAAGTAATCCGATATAATTCGTATCTGAAAAATTATACATAATAAATACATAATTATACATAATAATCTTCGTTATGACTATTATGAATATTCAAATCATTAAAGACTCTCACATATAATACTACATACATTTTTTATTTAACTTACTTAAAGTTAAAGGCCATTTAAAAAATTAAATAATAAAACAAAAGAGATAATGAGAGTCAAGATAATGAGAGTCTAGTGTCCTTAATATGCTAATATAATATATTCATATAGAGCATAATTCTCAACATATTAAAATTACCTGTATGTACATCATAAATATTCACACGATCAACTCTTCCTCCATGTTGTCCTATACCAGCTAGAATTATTAATTTACTTTTTACAAATACAGCAATCATATCTTTTCTTTTAATTGGCATTCTAAAATATTAATGAAAATTATTTTAAGAGATGGTCTCTTTTAATAAATCTATCTATCTATAATTACATCTATCTCGCATCTGTTTTATTATTAGTATCCTTACACTGTCTGAAGAAACCATCTCTTTGAAATCAAAGAATATCGCCATATGTATTTATTATAACTTCCGTCACAAGTATATTGGCCTCCAAGAAGATACAAATTATATCCTAAAATATTATGTAAAGTAGTAAATAGGATAGATAAAACAGGATAAGATAAAAGATAGCATACCTCTAGCAACAATCCTTTCTCCTTCCAACGGGCGAGTGTGATTGCAAGTAATAATGCTTTTAGGATAATTGAAGGAGGTAAATTTAAAGAATTTTTTACCATCCCAGCAATATATAGAAAAACTGTTAATATTAGAATTTTCTGAGGTTACAATAGCTTGTAAAGTGTTTTTCTGTTTCTCCTTTATGATATTTATAGGAAGTTCCTCCTGTATTAAGAATTTTTTATTATACGAAGAGAAAGTTATAAAACGTATTAATGCATAATAGAATATAATAGCAGTATTACATCAAACAGATCAAAATGGATATTCTGAATCTTATGTCTTAAAATTTGAAATATGTACAATTTTAAATAAAAAATTATTATAATTTTTATATTATTTCTCTGATATTGAAATAAAATTTATAAATTATTGTTTTTGTAATTATTATATTTACCTTGTTAAAATCTGCCCAGTTTTTAATAACATGATCTAAATAACCTTTTGTGCATGTAATATTAATGTTGCCAATTAACTTAAAAAAATCATCCTTTTTCAATTTAATGAGCGAATCAAGAGGTAGCTCTATAAAACAATCTAAATTAGCTGACAAAGAAAGATCTCGTAAAATTTTAATTCCTAATTCTTCAGCACGTAACCAAATATCAAGTAGATATTCTGGTGTCATATATCGTTGTTCAAAATTATATGTTATACGTTCTATCAGTTCATCTGTTCCAAATAAGACACTTATTTCCAATAAGACATATAAATCCTTAAACACTTTCCTTTTAGTCTCTCTCTTTGAGGGGAGGAAGGTGATTATACTCAATCCAATGAAGAAACATCTATAAAATTATTGTCTCAGTATTTGGATTGAACAGCAAGATGATTTATTTTAATAAAATATAATGTTTCGCACGCACACGCACACGCACACGCACGCGCACGCACGCAACACACACACACACACACACACACACACACACAGAGAGAGACACACACACACACACAAATTTATTCTAGTCGTTTCAT